GACCTTTTCTCTTTCAATTCACATTAATTTTTCACACAAATTTTTTTATATCCAAAACTCAACAAAAAATTACTTTTCTACTTTATTTTTAAAATAAATGATTTCAATTGTAGAAATTTTTAAATCCAAAATTGTCATTATGGATACACAAATGATGGACAAATTATCGTGAAAAGACGACACTATATTTCATCGTCACCAAAAACTACCCTAGGATTGTCGTTTGGAACCTGTATTCGGGGCAAACCCGGTGGATTGAGTTTACCAATAAACTCGAGAGTCTTCATTTGTATAATTATGCTCTCGGATACAACAAGAGCACCAAATCCCACAAAATCTTGAGCTTTATTGATTATCGTCCCGATGATATGCTCGAGCACAAAATCTACGACTTCAAATCTGATTCATGGAGGGTTTTTGATGATGCATCAACAGACACGGTGATAAATCAATCCAGGCATGGTCTCTCTCTCAAGGGAAATACATACTGGTTTGCTCGAGAGAAGTATTCAGAGAGTAGAGAGTTCTTGGACGAGAGTTTCTTAGTCTGTTTTGATTTCAAAAAAGAGAGTTTTGGGCCGCGTTTGCCTCTGCCCTTTGAGCATACTGTACTTAAAGTAGATACTTTGACTCTATCTAGTGTTAGAGAAGAGCAGCTTGCGGTTTTGTTTCAGGAATGGGATACATTATTAAAGTTGGAGATATGGGTTACAACTAAAATTGAGCCCAACGCGGTGTCGTGGAACACTAAAGTGTTCTTAGACGTGAATATGAGACCACTAACTTGCTATGGTTTTGAGTTTGTGAAATTCGCTGCGAGTTTCTTCATTAACGAGGAGAAGAAAGCCGCTGTGGTTTTTGACAAGGACAAAAAAAATATGTCGAACAACAAGCGCAACGTAGTTTACATCATTGGAGTGGATGGAACCTTGAAAGAAGCCGATCTCGGAGTATCTACATTCTATAATTGTTTTCCACTTGTGTGCTCTTATACTCCAAGTTTAGTGTAGCTTTAATTATTCCACCTATAATCTATTCACTTGTTTATTATTTTCTATGTTTTTTGAACAAGTAATTAATTTGTTTCGAATGGAGTTTATATTAGAGTTCTTGATGCCCGTTGCTCAACTATGGCTTGCTCATTAGTTTATCTGTATGGAAATCATACAAATGTTTCTTCGAAAAACCATGACTTTCTTGAATCTTAATGAAGTTGCAATATGAGTGGTGGATAGCAGGGAGGAGCTTGTTTCTAGAAGCTTCAAAGTCTAGGATCTTTCCGCTTTCATATTTTTTCTGTATGTATTGTAACACTTTTTTCATGGCTTCTTCTTGTTCATGTACATCGAAACAATTTAGTTGCTCATCAAGTATACAAGAAGACTAAAATAAAACTCAAATTCATTACCCTGGAAATTGATGTTTCCCGACCTGACACATTGAACCAGATGGTGGAAAACGGGACAATTTTGAAACATATCAGATGATGCATACTTGCTGCAGTACACAAGTGGGTTCGTTCTCTCTGCTACTTACTTGCTCCAGAGTGATTGGTGGCTACATCTCGTGGCTAAAGCCAAAATTGTTGACTCCGTCATTTGTTAAGTCTGGTCAA